TATAGGGTACTATCTCCATGTCTCTTTCTCTGTCTGGTGAGTACACATGCAATTAAACAAATGCAAGCAATTAAAAAAGTTTTTGGGACCAGCAGCTGGTGTAATGGTTCCATCACTGGACTCTCACGTAGTTGACCCAGGTTCAAGTCCTGGATGCGGCGACTTAAACATCACTCCGGGTGCATGTGCGTGCGTGCCCAGGATCCCGAGAGGAGAATGGAGGAAAAGGGATGACGGTGTGGTCATCTACCCCTGGGGGGGTAGAAAGACACTCTCTGTCTGTCTCTGTCTCTCCAGCAAGCGCAAGTGCCCTATAGCAAAAATCTCAAAAAAAAAAAAACCTCAAGGATGCACAAAAATTAATAGCAATTGTATCTGGTGTGAGGTTTTGGTAAGAACTTGTAAGGTAAAGGAACCAGAAGGTTAACTTCACTGTGTACCTTTTAATTTTTTTCAAACCAAGTACATGCGTAATAATTTGAAAATGTAAAACCAAGTATCTGGATTTAAAAATATAAATTTGGACCAGGACTCCAAGATGGCGTCAGTCATACCAGTGAAGGAGAAGAAACTCATGGATGTCAAACTCGGGGAGCTGCCAGGCTGGATACTGACGCAGGATTTTACCCCTAAAGGCATTGCTGGAGCATTTCAGAGAGGTTACTACCGGTATTACAAGTACGTCAACGTGAAGAAAGGGGGTGTTGCTGGGGTTTCTATGGTGCTGGCCGCTTATGGCTCTTCAGCTACTGCCTTTCCTATAAGGGACTCAAACACCAGCGGCGACGTAAATACCACTGCAGAGGGCCAGATGGAGGCCATACACTGAACCAGACCTTCATCTCCTTGGCTTGGCACCCCTCCAAAGGATCTTGTTGAGTACTTTCATATCCCAGTCGAGAATTCACATCCAATAAAAGATGACTGGTATGTGAAAAAAAAAAGAAAGAAAGTGTGTGTGTATATATATATATATATTATATATTTGAGAAAAAAAAAAAAAAAAGCATAGGTTTTGAAGGCAGCCGGGTCTGAATTTGAGCTGGGGAAAATTATTGTGTTACTGAATTCCTGATTCCATGATTTATTTTCTTCCTTGAATGAGAAATCTGTAACCTCACGCCCTGGCTTCCTGCTAGCATGTGTGCCAGTGTGCTTGGGGGATGAACCTAGGCCCTTTCCCACGTGGGTCCGGTTACATTACCACTATGACACTCCCTTGGCCCAAAAATTATCATTTTCTCCCCCCCCCTTATTTTTGAGAGAGAGAGAGAGAGAGAGAAAGCTTCAAACCATGATCGACCAAGGGAGTCCAGTACCTTAACCACCATGCCATCTGCTGGCCCCAAAGTTATAGTTTTGAAGAGTTCAGCCGATTGTGTAGAATTTCTCACTCTCTAGCTAGATTCGATTTCTTTTCTTCATAATTTTTTAGATTCAGGTTAAGTATTCATGGTAAAGAATACTACTACATACACGATTTGGTTGTCCCCTTCTGGCTGAGAAGTATGAGCACTTTGTTAAGGTGCTGTCCCCCAGATTTCAGGGTCACCTACTTTGCACTGAGGCAGGACTTTGTGAAGTGATTTGTAAAGACCACACATCTGTCTTCAGCTCCCACAACGTGCTCCCTCGGTTTCAGCAGCCATCGACGATCCTTCCAGAATCATTACATCGGACACTCACAGCATGGTGATTTTTCTCTGTGCTGTTATTAATTATCTAGTCTTCTTTGTAAAAATAAATAAATAAAATGAACTTCCCCTCCGCTCTGTACCCCCTTTTAGTCTTTTTCTCAAAATTAATTTTTACTTAATGTTATTTTCATTGAAAATCATAACTATGTATTTAAGGAGTACAACGTGATGCTTTTATACAAGTACACATGTGGAAAGATGAAATCAAATCCTATCTGTCTCCTCACTTTTTGTGTGTGATGAGACACTTGAATGTACTCTTTTAGTTATTTTGAAAAACACACTTTATTGAATATAATCATTCTCTTGTGCAATAGATCTCAAAAACTTCCTCGTAACAGAAACTGTGAGCCCTTCTTATTCCTTCCCAAGGAGCTCTATGAACTCGTGGATGTTAAATACCTATGTTAAAACCCTTTAGCATTATTATTATTGTTTTTTTTTTTTCTGGAGAGGTTTTTGCTATAGAGCGCATGAGCTTGCCAGAAAGACAGAGAGAGACAGAGAGACAGAAAGTGAGATATCACCCCCAGGGGGATGGCCACGCCACAATCCCTTCTGCTTCATTCTCCTCTCAGGATCTTGGGCATGCACGCACATGCACCCAGTGTGAGTTTAAGCCACTGGGTCCGGGACTCGAACCACGGTCAACTACATGGGAGTCCAGTGACATAGTCATTACACTAACTGCTGGTCCCTCCATTATTCTTTTTGTTATTTAGCCTATGCTGTTTCTAGATGGAGTTAGAATGGGCACAGCCACTAAAAGTCTGCTGAAATAAAAAGCATGATTCAGGAGAATCACTGTATAAATTTAAGAAGGAAGAAAAAAAAAGAACACACACATATACCCTGTACACACACATACATACATGTAGTACTTTTCACGGTTTGACTTAGGATCTTAACTGTGATGCAGTTGGTGAGATGTAGACAGGGTTTAATCCAAGCTGGGTCACTTACATTTCTTTTTTTTCTTTTTTTGAGAGGTTTTCGCTATAGGGCGCGTGCGCTCACCAGACAGACAGAGAGAGACATAGAGACAGAAAGCAAGAAATCACCCCCTGGGGGGGATGGTCACGCCACAATCCCTTCTTCTTTATTCTCCTCTCGGGATCTTGGGCATGCACACACACACGCCCGGCGTGAGTTTTAAGTCACTGGGTCCAGGACATGAACCGCGGTTGACTACGTGGGAGTCCAGTGACATAGCCATTACGCTAACTGCTGGTTCCCACTTACATTTCTTATATAAAAGGTGAAGACGTTGGGGCCGGCAGGTGGTGTGGGTGCTGGACATGGCTGACTATAGACCGAATCTGGGACCTGGCAGCTTGATTTCTCACTCCCCCCCCCACCCACAAGCACACACACACACACACACACACACACACACGTACACATACTCTGTTCTTCTCTGGCCAAATTAAAATAAATACCAGAAAGTTAAGTAAAATAATTCTTTAAAAAAAAAAAAAAGCAAAGATGCTTCCTGACCAGCAGATGGCTTGGTGGTTAACGGGCTGGCTCCCCAGGTGATGGATCACAATTCCAGTCCTGGACCCAGCAGCTGGAAAATCACACTGGGCACGTGTGTGTGCGTGTGTGTGCGCGCTACAAATCCTAGGACAATGAGAAAGGAGTATGAAGTGGCCATCCCTCCCACAGGGGATGGTTTCTCATTTTCCCTTTGTGTCTGCCTCTCTCTGCGGATTGAAGGAACTCTACAAGCCTTAAAAAATAAAAAAAAGGAGAACCAGCAGTTAACGTAATGGCTGTGTCGCTGAACTCCCACGTAGTCAACCGCGGTTCGCGTACCGGACCCGGTGGCTTAAAACTCACGCCAGGCGCGTGTGCGTGCGTGCCCAAGATCCCG